TGATCGTTTCCCTTCGGAATCTTGCAGATGTTGTTCTGTTGGCTTGTTTCTAGTGTTGCTTTTGTGATACGCAGAGTCATCTGATTCCTGATGATTTGTATCTGACCTGGCTTGGGTTTTGTTTTTGTTTTCATTTTTTGACCCACCGACTCGTATCCCCCTCACCCCCTGGGCAGCTTGTAGAATCTTTTCGACCTCAGGTTTCTGAAGCTTCACAGCAATGTGCCTTGGCTTGATTTTCACCTGTGATGCTGGGCATTTGGTAGGCCCTTTCCTTCTGGCAGCTGATGTTCTTCAGTTCTAAGAAGTTAACTTGAATTATTTTGTTGATAATTTTCTCTCCTTTACTATCCACTCCTGTTACTTGGATGTTGGACCTCCAGAACCTGGTCTCTGATTTTATCTGTCTCTCTTATTTTCCATCTCTGTCCTTTTATTCTACTTTCTAAGAGACTTTAACTTAATTTTCCAACCCTCTGATAGAATATTTTCTCTGCTACCATATTTTTAATTTCTGAGATCTCTTTTTATGCTCTTTGAATGTTTCTTTTTTAGAGCATCCTGTTTTTATTCCATAGTTGCAATATATTTTCTTATCTCTTTGGTGAGCTTAATATTTTTTCTACCCCCCACCCCCATCTCTTTTTTTTCTTTTTCTTCAAGTTTCCTTCTCCCTGCACAGCTTCCATTTGTTCTATTGGCTTTTTGTTTGCTTGTTTAGATCACTGGTGTTAAAAGATAAACTGAGGCATCTTAAAACTTGCAAGAGTTTATTTGGGCAAAAATTAGTTCAAATTGAGCAGCATCCAATCTAGAAGACAGAAAGGAGCTCCCAGTTACTGCACAAAATCAAAGACTTCGAGGTAAGAAGGAAGTGGGAACAAGGAAGTCATAGTAGGCCAAAAAAGTGGATTGGTTATTGCAAAGTTACTTTCCTTTAGGGGATGGCAGGGGTCTATCAGGCAGATTACCTGAGTAGTGCTGATCAGATGATTTCCTGATTGACTGGTTTAAAATTCCATTCCTGGGAGAGTCAACCTGTAATTAAGTCTCAGTTTGGTGACATGAGACTTAGCATAAACGACTGCATTTTGGGCCTATTGTCTTGTTTTAAATACTGTCATCCATGTTAAAGGCCTTCTTTAGGTTTTTAGTAATTTTTGATTATTTGCTCATAATCAAGGTTAAGAGACTACAAAGCTAATTGGAAATTCTGAGTGTGGGAGTGAGGCTTGTTTGCTTGAAGCATCACGGGGAGGATCTGACTGTGCCATTTGTTGGGTAATCCCTATATCGTTTAAGTATTGCCTTTCTTGGGGAAAATCTTCCCAATTCCTGCCTAGAGAGTATTGTCTGGATGCTGGCATTTCTGGGTTGAAGAAACCCAGGAGAGGAAGATTCCATAGCATTCTGTGTCCTTGTGGCTGTATAATTGACCTCTTAGCTACATGGTGCCCATATCCTCAGATATGCTTTTGACTGGCTTGCTGTCTTCCATTCCAGAGAGAGAGGGTCAGTCATTTAGAGGCATGGGGTGAGTGAAAGTGTCTGGAATCTAACTTATCAAAAATACTAAGACCCCAGTAGTGTTGTTTTAGTTGGGCTTTGGGATGGAACAAAATTAGATGTGTGGTCAATCTGCCATTTTAACCCAAAGTCCCTTTAGAAGCTTTTAAAAATTAGGCTTAACCATTTATACAAGACATTTTTATGAAGCTCCGATTATGTGCCAGACACTTATGCACACTATCGTCTTTTCCATCAAGTGTGTTCATTACTGCTCATTAACTAAAATCACAATGCATAAATAATATAAAGGCAGTTTCAGCAAACATTTGAGTCAACTGTGCAAGAATTCAAGTTTTATAGACATTAATATGGAAGCTATGTAAATTAAGAAATGTCTCTGTTTGATACAAATGCCTATAACAGTGACAATATAGTTTTCTTTCTATGGGGAAACATGTACTGACTACTACCTAATGTGCCAGAAATACCGTTGGTCCTCATTACTCATGGTGGTTCTATTGTCTGAGTCACCAAGAACACTGAATTCGCAAATATTGGAACATTGCTCCCAGAGGATATACAGTGTTAGGTTTCTGCTGACCTCTGGTCACAATATTTTCATCAGCCAATCAACCTATAACCTCATTTTATTAATGTTTCTAGTTTGTTTTGTTTTTTTCTCTTTCTGTTTAAAGACACCATATTTAATATGTCTGAGTAAGCTTATCTAACATGCATTTTCACACAGCCTTCTTGGGCTTAGGAACATTAGACTGCACTTTAGCACTATGCTTGAGAGCCATTTTAAAGAACAAAATCAAATATGTTACCTATACTTTAATTAAAAATTTTTAAATAATAGGGGCGCCTTGGTAGCTCAGTCAGACTCTTGGTTTTGGCTCAGTTTATGACCTCATAGCTTGCCAGATCAAGCCCCACACCAGGCTGTATGCTGGCAGCGCAGAGCCTGCTTGGAATTCTCTGCCCTTCCCCCTCTTGCATGCTCACGCACTCTCTCACTGTTTCTCAAATAAATAAATAAACATTTCAAAAATTGTAAATAATAAAATACTGTTCTCAAAAGAAAAATAAATGGCAAAAATAAATAACAAAAAGCACAAAACTGTAAAAAGCACATAAAAAGCAAAAAACAAATCACAAAAAGGATGCTGTGTCAAGTGACTCACATTTTTCACAATTCTGTGTATGTCCGTGAATGACCGCAAAATTGCCACAAGTATTGATTTTGGGATTACAAATAAATTTTAGCAAGTGGACAGATTCACAGATAAGGAATCCACAAATCAGCACTTATTGCCAACACCCTAGTTACTCTTACTGGGAAAGGCATTTATGACTCCTCTAGAAGAAATAGTGCAGTTTTTATATGCATTTATGCATGAGCTTTTATTTTTTTAATGTTTATTTATTTTGAAAGAGAGAATGAGCTGGGGGCAGAGAGAGAATCCCATGCATGCTTTGTGCTGTCGGCACAGAGCCAAACACAGCACTCCATCTCATCAACTGTGAGATCATGACCTAAGCCAGAATCAAGAGTCAGACACTTAACTGACTGAGCCACCCAGGCATCCCTGTGCATGTGCTTTTAAAATGTTCTTATTTATTTTTAAGTAATCTCTACACCCAACATGAGGGTTGAACTTACAACCCCAAAATCAAGAGTCACATGCTCTACTGTCTGAGCCAGCCAGGTGCCCCCATTGTTTTTAGTAGCTAGTATAATTGATAATAGCCAGTAATAAACTCAGTCATTAACAGTTAATTTACTGACTTTTACAGCCTTGTGAAGTAAATATTTCTATTTAAAAGAAATGAAAACTAATTTGAAAGATCTGAGTAACTTATTCATACTCCCATAGCTAGTAAATAGCTATGTATAGTAAATAGAGGAGTGGGGTTTTGTCTGGCATCTAAGGTCTTAATCATTACACTGTACTGAACCTCCCCTCCAAAAGGATCCTTGTTCTGCTAGGTCATTGAAGTGGTTTCTGAGTAAAGCTCCCATGCTGTCATGAGAGGGATGTGCAGGAGTGTTACCAGATTGATTTTTTTAAGTGTAATTCTCTCTTTAAGATAATTTGCCCTGTTTTCATGATTAAATTAATTTTAATATTCGCTTACTTTTAAATCTGATTTACTTATATAACTAAAAGAGGAAGAATAGTATATTACAATCACAGAATTTTAGAACTGGGAGTGTCTTTTTAAAATAATAAAATAAAATCCACATATTTTACACATGAGCAGACTGAAGCTTCAGGAGATTAACTTGCCCACACAGTTAATTACGAAGGCCATTATCCAAATTGCTTAAACTCTCAATCTAACTTCTCTAAGTTTTATGTCGTTCCTTGTACTCCAAAGATTGTTTTAACCAGATTCAGCAAAGAGTAATCAGAGTTAAGCCAAAATCAACTGCCATATATGCTCACTACTTTTTAACCTTGACATCCTGTACTGAGCCACTGATATGAGACAAATCTACATTAGAGCAGGGGGAGGAGGCACTCAAAGACACTCAGGCACCTTGGTGAAGGAAAGAGAGCCTGCCTGAGACAAATGTCATCTGATTAGTGACACTTGAAAATGCAGGCCCAGTGTTATCAGATCCTTGAATTTTTCATTGGAAGCTCGAAAAACAGATATTATTATGAAATATTGGCAACTATGTCAAACTTTAAAACCACACTGTAAGACAAAAAGCAAATATGTCCATGGGCCGGTTTGAGGCCACCAGCAGTTTGAGACCTGTACTTAAGAGGATTCAGCTTACACTGCAACTTGCATTCCTGTGCACAGTGAGTGACTATGAGAAGGAACCAAAACCAGAGTTTACTGACAGGCTAAATGAAAATGCTTGAGTCAAGTTTATAAGTCAATAAACCATTAAGTGACCAAGCACAGTTAATCTGTCTGTTTACTTCTTGAAATAGCTTGTTTACATGTGTTTTGGCTGCCTGTTACCCACAGTGCAGAGATCTTCCATGTTTGTTACAAGTTCAAATTGATTAGTATTTTGAGGCTAAGTAGAATTTTGCAGTCTCATATGTTAGCAGACTTGCTGTCCTTATCTAATGCCTGCAAGCCTCTGACGTAGTATTATCGCTTGCTGGAAATTCATATTTTATCTTGTTTCACAGCAGTAGACATTACACAGCATCTGCAACCAAAGTTTTACTCAGTAAAACTTAGTACTTAGTACTCTCTTAGTACTCTCAGACATAGAATGTCCCCCAGATGCATCCAGAAGTCTTAGCTTATTTCTTTCTTTTTTTTTTTTTATTTTTTTTTTTTAACGTTTATTTTTGAGACAGAGACAGAGCATGAACGGGGGGACGGTCAGAGAGAGAGGGAGACACAGAATCCGAAACAGGCTCCAGGCTCTTGAGCGGTCAGCACAGAGCCCGACGCGGGGCTCGAACTCATGGACCGCGAGATCACAACCTGAGCTGAAGTCGGACGCTTAGCCAACTGAGCCACCCAGGCACCCCTTAGCTTATTTATTTCTTGAGAAAATGATGGAAGTTACGGTTCTAAAAGCATGAATTGGTATAAAAGTACAGCATTCTAATCTAAAGTGTAGCCGTCGGTTATGATAAATTTCTGTTCCATTAATATCAGAAAGAAATAGATGAGAGTAAATACCTGGAAAATTATGGGAAAACTGTGGCATTCATTCATCTTTGTTTTAAAGCTACTCATTGAAGTAGAACACACATACAGAAAATTATACAAATTACACAGTTCAGTGGATTTTCTCAAAATGAACGTGCCTGTGTAACCAGAACCCAGATTAAGAAATGAAATATTTATACTATTGTTGATGGACATTTGGCTTTCCATTTAGGAGTGATTACATTTAGTGCTGCCATGAACATTCTTTTACATGGTTTTTTTTGTTTTGTCTGAGGTGAATTTAGCACACATCTCTGTTAATTATATACACAGGAGTAGAATAGCTAGGTCATAGAGTATACATATTTTGAGCTTTAATAGATAGTGGCCAATTTGCCAGTATGTTTGAACTAGTTCAGACTTCACAATTGTGTATGAGTTCTTGTTTCACATCCTAACCAATGCTAGATCTTGGCTCTTCCATTATAAATCATTCTGATGGATGTCTCATGTGGTTTGAATTTACATTTCCTGATAATTGAGATTGAGCACCATTTCTTTTGCTTATTGGCCATTTGGATATTTGTAAAGTGCACTGGCTTTGTAAATTTTTTTCTTTAACTTTTTTTTACATAAAGTTTATTTATTTATTTTGAGAGCAAGAACCAGTGGGGGAGGGGCCGAGGGGGGGGCAGAGAATCCAAAGTGGGTTCTGTGCTGACAGCAGAGAACCCAATGTAGGGCTCGAACTCATGAACCAAACCCTGAAATCATGACCTGGGCTGTAGTCAAATGCTTAACCAACTGAGCCACCCAGACACCCCTCTTTAACTTTTAAAAATAAGTAGTTTGCATATATAAACATTCTCATTCGAGCTAGCTCCTTTCCCTCCATTGACTCCACTGCAATGTATAACATCTTAGAGATCTGCTGATATATGTGTAAAACCAGAATGGCTTTGGCCCACAAGATTGCCTTCTAGATAACTTTATAAACAAGAGGAAACTTTGTGTGGAATTTTTTAGGCCATTTAAACTACCAGCATTTGAACTTACAGCATTTCTTGGTAAGAAAGAGTAAAATAAAAGTAATAAATAGAGACATACTTTTTAAAAATTTCATTTTTGGAATAGCCATTTGCCTTTTTGGTTTTTTTTAGTTGGTTTTATGAATTCTGATGGTAAACAGAATCAGCTGTTAATTAGTAATATGTTCCTAAGTAGAAGAGTTAATTTAGAAAGAATGTAGCTCAAATTTGCCCTTTTAAAAAATATTTATATAGTTGTTGGGGAGGGGGGTGCCTGCTTACAAGTAATACATGGTCATAGTCAAAACTTCAAAAGTTACAGAAATACATAACATAGAAATTGACAGTTTCGCACAATCTCATATTCCAGATCATTGGTTGATTTGTATTCATCCAGATTTCCTTCTGTGAATTTGCTAACATATATCACAAATGATATACCCTACATACAGCTTTGTCACTTGCTTTTTAACCTAACAACTACATGTTACTGCATCTTTAGGAGTTTAAAAGATATCTGTGATAATTGGGTACTCATTATTGATAATAAGAATGACTTATTGAAACGATAAATAATAAATTAGTATATTAATTTTATTAATCTTACTTATAGATGCTTAAAATGGTTCACCTAGCAGTTTCAGTACGCATTTTTTAAAATATTTATTCATTTTTGAGAGCGCGAGCAGGGGAGGGGCAGAGAGAGACAGAGACAACAGAATCCAAAGCAGGCTCCAGGCTCCCAACTGTCAGCCCAGAGCCTGACCTGGGGCTTGAACCGACAAACCGTGAGATCACGACCTGAGCCGAAGACGCTCAACCGACTGAGCCACCCAGGTGCCCTTCAGTATGCATTTTTAATTTACTTAGCACAGTGTTTTCCTAGGACACAGAAAAATTCCAACTAAAGAAGATCTAAATTAATGTAGTTTATGAGCAGTTGAAAGTGGCTTGATTTTTTTTTTCAGCAGCTTTTTAAAATATATTTAAGACATCCTAATCAGAATCCAGATGCTGAATTGGTGAATCTACTGTTTTTTATGAGAAATTCACTGGATTGAGCCTGTACTTCACACTTTGTAATAAAATGGTAGTTTCTCATCATTTCAAGTGGTACTGGTGGCTGTCAGATTAAGAATGTGCTCTGCAGAAAACCTGGAAATCTGACTAGTCATCCAAGGGTTATGTTTGTTTTCTAGTTCAGTACTCAGCACTATTGGGAATGTCATCACATCCTTCCTAAAAGTGAGTTATCCTAGTCTCTGGAAATCTCCAAGTGAATTCTTTTTAAGCAGTGAGGCTTAAATTTAAAAGTATTTACTGTTAGGCTTTATAAAAAGCAATATTTTACAAATTAAATAAGTTCCAAGGTATTCTGCTTTGTATCTGATGTACAGTCTTCACTTTCCTCTAATCTAAAGGAAACTCTTCAGGTAAATCATTGTATTCTGAGCGTTCTAGTCTCAATTGGTTGCACCTTCTTTTGAAATGAGAATAACAGGCACCTGGGTGGCCCAGGCGGGTAAGTGTCCACTCTTGGCTTCAGCTCAGGTCGTGATCTCACAGTTTGTGAGTTCGAACCCCATGTCAGGCTCTACAGTGGTAGTGTGGAGCCTGCTTGGGATTCTCTTTCTCCCTCTCTCTCTGCCCCTCCCCTGCTCATGCTCTCCCTCTCCAAATAAACTTTTAAAAAGTGAGAATAAATGAGCTGCATTTTCTCTGTTCAAGTTTGAAAGGCTATATAAAATAATACTGTTGCTAAATATTAACGAAGATATATTCTTTCAGTACCTTCATCTTAACCATGTGGTCTAGGTTTGGGAGTTTGCCTCGCGTTTCTAGTACTTTGCTAGTGGAAGAACCCTTCCAGTCTTGTGAAGTATTTTACCCATGTTTGCTTTTCTGTTCCAGTGGGACCAGATGGAAGTTTCTTTGCGGATTATACATTTGGCAAACTCAGGAATAGAAAATAGGCATTCTTCTCTGGAGGCTTTTCTGTGACTGAACTGGCGTCATGTAATAGATGTCCTCAGTAAAGCTGGTGGGTGGGAGAAGGTTTAATACAGCTGTTACTGTGCAGAGGGAAAAAATGCTGTGATGTGTTGTTGCTATCCAAAATGTGAAATTTAATAGCTGATCAGATAATTGCAGGATAAATTGTTTTATTCAGGGTCCCAAAAAAGGTGATTCAAAAGACTTAGATTTGCTTTGGAAACATTAGGATCCAAAAGAGCATAAAGATAAATGTCTCATTCTCCTCTCCTTCCATGGGTAAAATGGGTTAGCCCAAATAAAATGACTCTTAACCCTGTGGGTTTTAGATGTTTTCACTAATTGGGAAAACAAAATTGTTTCCCATTTGTTCTTCTGGAGACACAGAAATAGAGCTATAGTTCTTCAAACTGTTTGTGTAAATGGTCAAATTACTTTTTTGGTTTTTAAACAGACTTGTTTCCTGAGCTGAGAACTCATTAACAGACTTACCCTGCAGTATGTTTTTGTCTCCTGAGTTAAAGCAGATCAAAACAAAACAACAACCAAGAAGGCCCACCATAACCTGCATGTAGGTTTTTAGCAATAAGGAACTACCCGTGACAGATGCCTAGCCATTGTCATGTGAACAACTTTGTTATAGTAAACATAAACAAGAGATGCACTGGGGGAGCTACCAGAACTGCTTGATCAGACTTTAAGGAGAGTCATTATACCTTAAACAGCATGACTATTTAGGGAGTATCCTGTTCAGGATTTTGGAAAGCTACAAGTGTGTGGTGGCTGTGGACTTATGAGGCTGCTGATGGTTTCTGTGTTACCTGTTTCTAAAATAAATTTTCCCTTTTTAAATGAATCATTTTATTCTATTTTATTTTTTTTAATGTTTATTTATTTTAGAGCAAGAGATAGAACATGAGTGGGGGAGGGGCAGAGAGAGAGAGAGGGAGACACAGAATCTGAAGCAGGCTCCAGGCTCTAAGCTGTCAGCACAGAGCCTGACATGGGGCTTGAACTCACAGACCACAAGATCATGACCTGAGCCGAAGTCAGATGCCCAACTGATTGAGCCACCCCAGGCGCCCCTAAATGAATCATTTCATGGGGGGGGGGGGGGGGGGCTGAAACAAAATCTTGTGAACTTGGGGATTTAAAATTAAACTGATTTGGGGCACCTGGGTGGTTCAGCCGGTTAAGCATCAGATTCTTGATTTCAGCTCAGGTCATCTTCTCGTGATTCGTGTGATTCGTGTGATTCGTGGGATGGAGCCCCATGTTGGGCTCTGCATTGATGCACTGAGCCTGCTTGGGATTCTCTCTCTCCCTCTCTGCTGTCTCTCAAAAATAAATAAAAATTTAAAATTAAACTAATATATTTGTCAGTAGGGTTGTGGGCCAATATTGCAACCATATTGCTTTCACATGTGTTTATGGACTATATGTAATTAATTAGTCTTATACTTTATTCTTTGTGTTTATAAGCTTGTGAAAAAATCAGGTACTTATGGAGGAAATTCATCGAGATCTGACTTTGCAAGTGCAGTTTTGTCTGTGCTTTTAAGTTCAAAAAGTTATTAAGTGAGACTCCTGGAGGTCAGAGAGGGACAAATTAAATATAAGGCTAATCAGAGTCCCAAGATGTTTTGAAGGGTGGCTGGTTTGTTTTGTTTTGGAGTAGCAGTTGTGTTTGTTGTGCTCTCGGAAGCAAGACCCCTGATCTTAAGAGTGTCAGTACTTGTCTTTCTTGTTTTCTTTAGGTTAATGTTTGAAATTTCTTAATCAGGTTGAGTAAAATAGGTATCCTGCCCTAAGGGCTTTCCTGCTTAGTGGAAAAGCTGTGATTTATAAAGTTAACACCATAATGAAATAAATTGATGGTGAAAAGCCTTGAGCAGATTGCCTGTGTAATAAATTTTAGACTATTTACCCAGGTCAGTTTGTTTATTATTATTATTATTATTATTATTATTATTATTATTATTTCTGTTCTTGTCAGAATTGTCATTTCTAATAGTAGGATCCCTCAAACTCTTTAAACCAAATCTTGCTTGCTATTGTAGAAAATAGGCTCAGATTTCTTCTTAAAGTCCAAACCATTTCTTTAAAGACTAACAGATGTTTGCCCTCCTCTTCAGTCAGTGAGAGGTGACAGTTAAGTGCACTCTTACAGGTTTCTTTCCTCTTTGCTTCTCAACACTTCCACATTCAGTGGAAGTAGACTTGCATCCCTTTGGGTTTTGACTGAAGCACACACCCATCCCCTTCCTGCCTCCCTGGAACTGTTTCAAGATTTGAAGAGAAGGGTTTGTTTGGGGGCGTTTCCCTCGTCTTATCTCCGTCTGAGCATATGCTAGGGTTGAATGTATTTTGACCCTTCCACTTTAAATTTGGAGCTGAAACACAAGTTTAAAGTACAACAGGAGAAGAGAGTCTGCTGAACTTTAAACATGAGGGATCCAGGGAGGAAGGTGCGTACATGCATTCTGAAGCTTTCCCAGAGAGGTTGTCCATCTTTATTTATTCAGACACAGAACTGTAAGCTAATAACTACTAGGCAAAGGGAAAATATTTAAAACTATATAAAGATGTGTGACACATTGTGTGTTTATGTGCTTAATTTTACAGGAATGCCTCTAGTATTGAGTTTTGAAATTGATGGGAGAGCAAGTAAATTCTGAATTTTTATTTGAAAGCCTTTTGGAAAAGCTTAGGAGGATGGGTATTTGCAAGGAAAAATGTATTGTTTGTGATTGATCTTTAAGGCAATGACTAAAAAAGTATAGATAGACATTTTAGGTATTTTATCATTTTGTCTTCTAAAGCATAAAATTTTTAAAAAGCTATAAATAGTTATTATGAGATAAAGGTCACCCAGATTCTCCTCAGAGTTGAAAAGCAAGTCTTTCTCCATTGATTATTACTTATCTTTGTCTAGTGGCTTTGAGGACAGTACATTGTGTGTATAGACTGATTTCTTTCTTGACTGATCTTTTCCAGAGCCTGGCCCAACTCGAGAATCTGTGCAAACAGCTCTATGAGACAACAGACACAACCACTCGACTGCAGGCAGAGAAAGCCTTGGTTGAATTCACCAACAGCCCTGATTGCCTGAGCAAGTGCCAGCTGCTCCTCGAAAGAGGAAGTGTACGTAAGGCTTGAAAAATCCTGTAGGATCAGAAAGGTTGAGGAAAATACATTCTAAGTTTAAGGGTGGACTGGGATAAGTTTTGTTCCTTAATTCTTCTAGGTACCTCTGCCTCCTTAATTTCACCTTTAAAAAGCACCATAGCCAGCTGCCTGGTCGACAACAAAAGGACACACAGCCCCATCAGGAAAATCTCACTGAAATATATCTTGTTCTCTCATTTTTCATCTTGAATCATATTTCTGGGACTTTTTTTTTCCTGTTTCTCACACTTAAGTACCACCTCATATCCTTTACAAAGAAGACAGACCTTTCTTACCCACATAGCCCGTGTCACACAACGTACAAGCTTC